TTTTTTTTTTTTTTTTTTTTTTTTTTTTTTTTTGGAAGAGAAATGATAATTATGGAAAAATTGAGGCAACCCGTTTTACAAGGAGTAACGTTAATTACACTAAAGATAACTTTTTTTTTTTAAAGAAAAAGAGAAAATCACCAAAAAATCTGATTATTCTTCATTACTGTTTCTTCTCTTGGATCCTGAAGGGCGCGAGGACGAAGCAGCAGCAGCAAAATAAATAAATAAATAAAAACTAAAAAAACACGTGTTTCGGTATGATTGGTTGAATTTTGCTTTTTTTTTTTTAAATAATTCAAGATCTTCAAAAATGTTTTTATTATTTATTATTTAATTAAATATTTGAAAATAAACATGCATCTTATTTATCTTATTTAAATATTTGTAGGTTTTATTTTCGTAATTAATTTATAATTCTATGATTTTCTTTTTCTTTTTTCGGTTTAAAGAACAAGAGGGGACGTTTTTTTCTCTCTTTTTAGTTTAACAATTAATCGATTGATCACTGAAGTATCTATTTCACTAAATATGTTCGGATTGGCTAGAGCAAGAGATTGAACTTTTAACGCAAATAAAAAAAACGTGCAACACTACTTAAATTAACTGATATTCAAATTTTTATTTCGTAAATTTAAGGTTCAAAACTTAAAATTATCTTCTTACCTATCAAATATTTTTAAAAAAATATTAACATCTGCTTTTTAATTAAGTAGTTTTGAAATGATAGTTAGTGTCTTATCCATTGAGTTGTGCTTAAATTGACTTCAATTTGGTTGTGAACTTAAATATTAATACATGCACAAACTGACAAAAAAAAAAAAAAAAAAAAAAAAAAGACACGAACATCTAACTACTTAAACCATGTTCGTATAAATAAATATTAAAATGACACTTTTTTTTTTTAGTATAAGTAGATATTAAATTCGTAACTGAGAATCTGACTCTAAATCTAAAGATACAAACATATACAAACACATCCACTCTTGAATCGCCTAAAACATCTGTTTTCATATCCAATAACATCATTCATTTGTTGTTGATGGTCGTTGTAGCGATACCGATGTCAGTGTTGACCCAGAAACAATAAGAGATATATAAAAAATATATATATATATATATATATATATATATATATATATATTTAGTGAATTAAGTGAAAATTCAAATTTCAAAAAAATAATAATTTTTTTTTGTTTGATAATATAATATTTTAATTAATTGAATTATGTTTTAAAATAAATAAATAATTAATTAATTAATTACCACGTATGACGCTGTCGAAAATGTTGTTGGAATGATGTTGGCTGTTATTGCCATTATTTTATTTATTATCGAACGGCGCTTTACTTACATTTTTTTTAATTATTATAATTATTGGCAGAGGTAATGCTCAGTAGTAGTTGGACCAAATCATCATATAATTATTTATATTATTAATTTAATAATACTCCACCATCAAAAATATTAATACTTTATTTTATTTTCAAATTTTCAAATCTTTTATTTTAATATTTATTTCTTTTTTTAGGTTAAATAAACATCTCTATAAAAAATAATACAGGTGAATATTAAAAAAATAAAATAATAATAGTGATGTCATAAATATAATTAAATATTCACATTATTTTTGCTTGAATAATATATTTTCCATTTTCTACGCAAATGAAATAAATTATATAATTAAAAAAAGCGAGTATAAGTTAATGGGACCCCACCACTCAAAAAATAAACAAGAAAACTATATATTATACGAATTAATTAATGTATTGTATGTTTCAAAACATTATCTTTTATTTATTTATTTATTTACTGAATAAATTGGTTTGTGTACGTGTCGGCTGCAGTCGCGTCAAATAATTACCGTTAAATACATATTTATTTTCATTTATTCCATTTTTTTATTTTAAATGTTCAATAAATCTTAAAATTAATTTTTTAATGAATTTATTATTGATTTTCGCATATTATTGTATAGCTAAATTTAAGATTTATTGAAACCACAATAATAAAATTTATTAATAGTTTTTTTTTTTTTGAGTTTTTAATGTTTTTACATTACCCGTTGCATACGTATCATAGTACTCCGACATAACATAAAATTATTCCAAACAAAACAAAACATGTTTAAATTTGGAGTTCTTATGATTGAGCCACCGAAAATAAATGTGTATCTTATTGATACAGATAGTGACTTTCAATTTCTTTTAGTTTTTCTTAGTATCTTATTTTTAGGATCGCTCTCATTCGAATGTGGTCCCGACTAATTTGTGTACTCTTCCTTTATTTGGGTTACTTGCTTTATTTTTTGGTCTATTACACTGTTGTGACAGCTTCATGTATTCATGATTGAATCTATATTTTTAATTCAATATTATAATCAATAGATACAATTTAGAGCATTCGATATTAATATTATCTTAATTTTTTTTTATAATATGTTGATTAAACCATGTGCCGAGCACGGTTTGGAGGGTGACATTTGTAAAAAGGTTGACTTTGACTTTTGATGATAACATGGGAACGTTTTTTTCATTACAAAAAAATTAAATACAACTCGGGAAGGTTTATATGGCTTGAAATTTTGATAAAATTATTCAAACTAGATTTATTTTATATTATAATAATATTATTTAATTAATATGAATATTAGACATTGACTTATATATATATATTTTATTTTATAAGAATTATAAATTATGGATAAATAAAACTTAAAAAAAAATTAACAACTCAACCCCATCCCAACCCGAGAATAGAGGGTTGGATTGGGTTGGGTTACCAATTCAACCAACCCGAACTTTTAGGTTGGATAAAAAAAATCCCTCAACCCAACTCAACCCGGACCATGTACATCCCTACTGATGGGCTCTCCAAATCTACTTCTAATTTTTTTTGGACTATTGTATCCCTGTATTAGATTAAAAATTTACAAAATATGCCACTTGCAATTAATTACCAATAATAAATTTTAATTATAAATATCTATAATCCTTAGTTTTCAAAATATAAAAATTATCCTTTATTAAATTATATCTTTTTAATTATATATCTCCCTTATAACTCATTATTTATTAAATGAATGTAAGAGTTAATGGTTCGTAAATCTAATTTTGTTGCTCTGAAGACAACTCTGATTAGTAGGATAATATTAAACGATCGTCGTTTAGGTCATCTCAATTTTATGTATTTAAATGTTTTCAGATATTGTCCGTAAAACAAAGGTCTTAATAGTTACTTGGGTAAACAAAATACTGTAGTATATGGGAGAATGGTACTCACGTGTTGGAAAATTCATTTGTTTACGTTGCACTATGTGAGATCCCACATTGATGGGAGAGAGGAACTGAACCATTCTTAATAAGAGTGTGAAACCTCTGCTAACTAACTGTATAAATGTTTTTGGATTTTTATTTTTAAAATTGAAGAGTATTTTGAGATTTTTTTGAACTTATTATCCAAAGTTTTGAAATTCGTTTACCCTAAAAAACGAAAAAAAATCTCTGCAATTCCAACCCAAGCAAAGATACTGTGCTAATCTTCTCCTTACTTCGATCTTCAACACTCAATCATTGCCTCTCTGAAGTCGTCGGAGTTCGCCTTCGTGGAGTTGCTGCTATCAGTTCCTGTCGTCTGAGCTTGTCGGAGCAAGCCGTCGAGTTCGCTGCTTACCGTCTGAGGTTGATTGATTGGCTCATTGTTGAAGGTTCTCGTCAGGGGGTTCTGTGGTTGAAGCGCTATTTACCAATTCGTGTGAGTTCAGAAACTAGGTTTGCTTAATGAATGAGTTTTGAATGATTTTCTATCTGTATCTCTCTTCACCTTCCCGACAATGGGTTATGGGTGAATCGAATATGGAACAGGGTTCAGTATTGATATAATGGGTTGGGTTAATCGAATCTAAAAATATGGACCAAGTATAGATAATGTCTGAACCTAAAACTTCATGTATATGTTTTTGTGCATTTTGATTCTTTAGAAATATCCATTGACATGGACGTTCTGGGGAAATTTCTATTGCTATTTCCCTTGAGTTGTTTTTGATGGTTTTATTGATATGGGTATTTAAAACCTTGTTTTTGGAACTTGGTATGATACCTTTGAATGAAATGCTAATCTGATGCTATGCTTATGAGATATACATTGGTTGGAGAGGAGAACGAATCATTTTTTATAAGGGGGTGGAAACCTCTTCCTAGTATACACGTTTTAAAAACCTTGAGAGGGCTCCAAAGAGGATAATATATGCTAGTGGTGTGATTGGACTGTTACAAATGGTATTAGAGCCAAACATCGGACGATGTGCCAGAAAGGACACTAAGCCCTGAAGGAGGGTGGATTGTGAGATCTCACATCGGTTGGGGAGTTGAAGGAAGCATTCTTTATAAGGGTATGAAAACCTCTCCCTAATATACGCGTTTTAAAAACCTTGAGGGGAAGCCTAAAAGGAAAAGTCCAAAGAGGACAATATTTGCTAGCGGTGTGCTTGGGCTATTACAAATGGTATCAGAGCCAGACACTAGGTGATGTGCTAGTGAGGATGCTGGGTCCTGAAGCGGGGTGGATTGTGAGATCCCATATCGGTTGGGGAGGAGAATGATGCATTCTTTATAAGGGTGTGGAAATCTCTCCCTAGCAGACGCGTTTTAAAAACCTTGAAGGGAAACTCCAAAGAGGACAATATCTGCTAGCGGTGTGCTTGGGCTGTTACAATGCTACTGAATTGGCTCTGCTTTCAAGCTTTTATATTATCTCGTGCGTGCGATTAGAGGATCCTTAATGCAAAGGAGGCTATAAATACATATAACTTGGCTGTTTCTTGTAAACAAGATTAAGTTTTCATCATTAGTTTTGCAATTTCTTCTTTCATTTATTTATGGTTTACTATAGTTTTTCATCACCTGCATTGCAATGTTCTGAGTTTTGTTTCCAATTTTTTGTACAAGTCAACTGAAAGTGGTACAAATTCATTTGTATTTGTAGTGTTCTATGTAAGATATTGGTAGACTATGCTTACCATATTTCTATTTCATTAATTTTTCAGATGAACGTGGGTTGTTCATCTGTTCTTGCTGATTCTAGTGCAATGAAAATCTTCTGGATTACTGTATAGGAATGACAACCTTAAGAAGTTCACTTATGCCTTCACTTGTAAAGACTTCTCCTTTCTTTTCATACTTCACTAAAATTCCATGGATATTTCCCGGCCAGAATACTTTTCAAGCTAGCCTCCAAGTCCATAGCCATCGGTCGACTGTATTTTCAAAAACTATACTGAAATGTAGTTGCAACAGTTACTTCTCTATACACGCAGCTAGATATTTTTGTTCTGTTGCTTTAGCTGCCACTTCGTCTGTTCACAAATCCTCAGCATCTTCTACCGATAAAATCTCGAACAGATCAAGGAAAAAAGCCCTCAAGGAATCGCCTGATAGAGTGCTTAAACATAAATTAGATATGTGCTCAAAGAATGGACAAGTTGTTGAAGCACTGAAGCTTTACGACGAGGCACGGAGTAATGGCATCCAACTTCAACAACATCATTATAATGTATTGCTGTATTTGTGTTCTTCGTCGAGCTCGCTTGAAACAAGTGAGGATATCGATGTATTAAGCGTGGGCTTGAGTAGGGGTTTCGAGATTTTTCAGCAAATGATGACTGATAAAGTATACCCAAATGAGGCGACATTTACTAGTGTTGCAAGATTGGCAACTGCAAGGGATGATCCAGAAATGGCTTTTTCTTTGGTGAAGCAGATGAAGGATTATGATATTGCACCAAGATTGAGGTCATATGGACCAGCACTTTTTGGTTTCTGTAGGAAGCTAATGCCTCAAGAAGCTTATGAAGTTGATTCCCACATGGCTGCAGCTGAGGTGCAACCCGAAGAACCTGAGCTTTCTGCTCTTCTAAAACTCAGTTCTGATGTGAAGAAGGCCGATAAGGTCTACGAGTTGCTGCTTCGGTTAAGAAGAACAGTGAGGCAGGTCTCTGAACCTACTGCTAAAGTTATTGAAGATTGGTTTAATTCTGAATGTGCAGCAGAAGTTGGTGTTAAACGTTGGGATGTGAACGAGGTTAGGGAAGGAATCGTTAAACGAGGTGGAGGGTGGCATGGACAAGGCTGGCTCGGTAGTGGGAAGTGGAGGCTCGTGAGAACTGTGATGGACGATAGTGGCGTTTGTCAGTTGTGTGGTCAGAAACTTGTTTGCATCGATATTGATCCGAAAGAAACTGAAAACTTTGCTGCCTCGTTGACCAAGTTGGCTTGCGAACGAGAAGTTAAAGCTGAATTTAATAGATTCCAGGTATGATAGTTCTTCTGTCATCCCCAGATTCTATGATTTGAAGTCTTAATTGTTCGTGGAGTGATAAGCTCACAACGTAAGTTTCCCATATTGCATCTCCTCTTGTTTGTTGTTGCTGCATACCCCTTCGTAGGGGCTTTTGTTATGATGGTCTCTCTCTTTTTTTCCCTTCATTCGTGACTATCCAAGCTGACTTGTGCACATCTCGACTATTCTCACGGGACAATCTTATGACCTTACTACATTTGGTTGCCAATGAAATCCATAAGATATTAAATCCTAGATAGGTTGTGTGAGATCCCACCTTGGTTGGGGAGGAGAACCAAGTATTCTTTATAAGGGTGTGGAAACCTCTCCCTAGCGTTTTAAAAACCTTGAGGGGAAGCACGAAAGGATAAGCCGAAAGAGGACAATATTTGCTAGCGGTGGGCTTGGGCTGTTACAAATGGTATTAGAGCCAAATATCAAGCGATGTGCCAGTGAGGAGGTTGAGCCTTAAAGGGGGGGGGGGGGGGGGGGG